AAGGCGTTCGACAGTGTCCCAAGGGGGGCCTTGTGGGGGGTACTCCGGGAGTATGGGGTACCAGGCCCGTTGATACGGGCTGTTAGGTCCCTGTACGACTGGTGCCAGAGCTTGGTCTGTATTGCCGGTAGTAAGTCGGACTCGTTTCCRGTGAGAGTTGGACTCCGCCAAGGTTGCTCTTTGTCACTGATTCTGTTCATAACTTCTATGGACAGAATTTCTAGGTGCAGCCGAGGTGTTGAGGGGATCCATTTTGGTGACCTTAGGATCACATCTCTGCTTTTTGCAAATGATGTGGTCCTATTGGCTTCATCAGATCGTGATCTCCAGCTCTCACTGGAGCGGTTCTCAGCAGAGTGTGAAGTAGCCGGGATGGGGATCAGTGCCTCCAAGTCCAAGACCATGGTCTTGAGCCGGAAAAGGGGATGGTGCCTTCTTTGGGTTAGGGAGGAGGTCCTGCCCCAAGTGGAGGAGTTTAAGTATCTCAGGGTCTTGTTCACGAATGAGGGAAGAATGGAGCGGGAGGTCGACCGGTGTATTGGGCGCTGTACCTGTCGGTCTACGTTCCTACCCTCATTTATGTTCACGAGCTTTGGGTAGTGACCGAAAGAACGAGATCGCGGATACAAGCAGTCAAAATGAGTTTCCTTCGCAGGGTGTCTGGGCTCTCCCTTAGAGATAGGGTGAGAAGCTCAGTCATCTGGAGGGACTCAGAGTAGAGCCTCTGCTCCTCCACGTCAAGAGGAGCCAGTTGAGGTGGCTCAGGCTTTTGGTTAGGAAGCCTCCTGGATGTCTTCCTGGTCAGGTGTTCCGGGCACGTCCCACTGGGAGGAGGCGCAGAGTAAGACCCAGGACACGCTGGAGGGACTATGTTTCTCAGAACACCTTGGGATTCCCCCAGACGAGCTGGTCCAAGTGGCTGGGGTGAGGGAAGTCTGGGTCTCTGCTTAGGCTGCTGCCCCCACGACCCGACCCCAGATAAGCAGAAGAAAATGGACGGACGGACAAACTGTTTGTTTCTGTTTACAACATGGATCACGTAGGTATAAATCTAACAATAATAAAAAAAAGTTTTTGGTCCAGATTAAAAAAAAGGTTTATTTGATTTACTTTTAAATACACTTAGTAAGTCTACTCTACATTAAAATTTAATATTGAATCTTCATGGTTCAGAATCAAATTGATTCAATTAAATAACTAAAGCTCAGCATGTAGCCAAACAACAATAAACTAACCCCTGTGAAGTTACCACACAACAATTTATCAACAAATTAGCTAATTTTCCACAAATAGAGAAATGACAAATAAATTAATAATTACATAAAAAGCGATGCATCAGCGCATCCTGATAACACGACTGAATGTTCTGCTTTTTCAAGGCAATCCAGTTGAAAGTGCAAATGACTTGTTGTACAAGTCACTTATATTTTGGAATCATAAAAAAGCATTGTGAACTGAATCAAAAGACATAGCATTTCAGTGCTTCAGCTCAGGTTTGCKCTGTGCATTATATGATCCAGAACAGAACTCACAGGGGTTGACCCTCAGGGTGATGGCTTCTTTTGCCAGGATTGTTCGTGTTGCCAGGTACTGGACGTTACAGGTGTAGTCGTCCCTGCTGTCTTCAACTGTCAGATAAGCAAAGTATAGGTTGCCATCCTTCCCCACCACCACCCTTTTGCTGAGCTGGATATGGCGCAGCTCTGGGGAAAAAAAGAAGAAAGAAACAGGAGAGGAGTTACACATATCTGTAATGTGTCTGTCTTTGTTCTTATCAAGTCATGCACGACTAAGAGGATAAGCAGAAAGATAGTGGACTTGGTTTTGGTTATTTTTAAGATCCTTATTTAAAAATCCTTTTAGAAATATATGGTTCTCTCTTTGTTCTGTCTCTCTAATGTGATWAAAGTGCACAACAAAAAGAGTAAAATCACAAATTTTATGAAAGAAAAAKGAAATAGAAGCAGAACTAATGAACTCACTCTCATCCATCCAGTGAATGACGGGCTCCATGGAGCTCTGTGGGGGGTTACACTTCAGGACAACACTGTTTCCCTCGTCAGCTTTCATGGTAACTTTTTTTTCTTTCTGCTGGGAAGGGGGGACTGCACAGAGGTAAACAACAGGTGAGTGGGGGGGAGGTGCTAAACAAACACAAACAGATTTCCTGAGGCAACCCTCATCACGCGTCACCTTCAACACAAACCAAGATGCCTTTTGTCTTGCAGAGTGGAAGATGTGATATGAGTCATGCATGTGTTCCCTCCCTCCCATCGTTGATAACCCCACAGCATCCACTGAAGAGCGCTTCACATGACATCAACTCAAGAGTGTTACTGCGGAAACGGTTGTCAGGGAAACTGTGAGGGAAGGAGGTYGCTCAGGAGAGAGCCAGTCACAGGTGGATGGATAATCAGACGTGCTCTTTACTTTTTGCTCAGGGCTTGTAGTCATGCGCAACCACCGATTATGGCATTATTGCATGTAATTACGCTCACAACTTTGACTTCTGACAGACTGAACTCTCTAAGAGAGAAAAAGATCATCTTTGATCTTTGAAGGCTTCTGAATTACAAAATATTAATCAAGCTCACATGTAAGMAACAGCCTTTAATTCACCTGATGACTGGAGATCAATCAAATTTGAGCTTATCATACCTTGAGCGAATGACGCTCAGCTACAAGCACATCAAGTTTTAGCTCAATATCTGTAAAACTCACTGAGTTGCAGCCATTTTTGTCTTGGTCATTGTTGATTAGCTGTGTCAACCATCGAAGTTACCTGACTTTTAAAGTTATTTAGTTGTCAAAACTGCTACAGCCCGAGGCCTTTCTTCTGTGTCTTTCTCTAACACCTGTGTTTCAGAGTTCCTGATTGGTGCTGATTGCAACTGGAGGCAGCTGGCCAGTGTCTAAAAGAGCTTGAGATCCAGTTGAAGAGCTGCTGCTGGCTCTATGCGAGGCGTCTCCTTTTTTTGATCTTTTTTCTCCAGCCAGCCATGATTTTTTGTTAAATAAATTTAATTTTAAGTTTTCCCATGCGCTGCTTCCCTTTCTTTGTTATGGCCCTAGAGCCCAGCCGTAACAAAYTGGGGGCTCGTCCTGGCTTCCGGGACAAAACACATCTAGTGATTACTCTAGTTTGTATTTCTATCTTTATTAGGAGCATGTATTGTAGGGCTGCATGATATTAGGAAAACCTACGATGTGCAATAACAGTGYGTAATATTGCGATGACAATGTGGCTTGCAATAAATGGACAAATAGTTCAGTATCCAGTCTTTCTGCTCTTGGTTCAGAGCAAAAAATRAATAAAAATACAACTAATACATCATTTCCATTCCAACATGACAGATTCATTTTAAACAATACAACTAGACACAACTGCTGTATTAGCAGTGAAAAACAAACTGAATGCAATACAGTTTCTTAATGACTTTAAAACACCCTCCCATAAAACTGTTTCTGATGCTTTAAATACAGAAAAACTGCCCTTACTATCAAGTTTTTTTTAAAATAAATAATAAAAATATCTGAAAATTAGTTTACGATGCAATAAGTTAAACCCAACTGCAGATTCTTTCATTGCAGTTGCCCAACAATTTATTCACTGACCAAGTGGTTGTGATTAAATGTGGATTGTATCAGACTGATTTGGACAAAACACATACATGCAAACATTTGAACCAACCATTTGTTGCAGTTTACCAGTTTTTGCGATGTGCCTATTGCACAGGCTCTTATCGCGATGATGTTAAATTAGCGATATATTATGCCTTTCATTTATTTCCAGTCATTTTTGAAGCCTAACCCCACAATGGCCTTCCACCATCCACCATAATCCACCATAAGGACTGGTCTTTGGTCCCCTAAGGGCCTACTGGTCCTAACACTGTAGGTGTTTGTACCAGAAAAATTCTTTAAAAAAGTAAATTTGCCCCCCTTAATATTTGACAAGATTGGTATAATTTCAAAACATTTATTTTTTCTGATGAGTAAAAATAGGTTAATAGTAGCTTTAGATTTAATGGTAAAAATGTGCTCTGAGCATGTTAATCTGTCTGAGCAGGTGGTTGTTTGTTTTTTTATGAGTCATCCCTGGGCTCTTACCATCAGTCCCGACTATGGCCTCATTAGACACAGCTGTCCCCAGCTCATTGGATGCATAGCAGACGTATTTGCCTTGGTACTGCTTCAGCGTGTCCATACTATCACTGACCACGGAGAATTCAAATGAGCCTATTTTCTCCGTAACCTTAAGCTCTGGGTCAGTGCCTGGGTCAAACTCCTCCCCATCCTTGGTCCATCGAAAACTTCAAGAAAAACAAAAAACAAAGATGAAACACTGACATACATTATTCCAACATCAAACACATAGCCTACAATTGTTTCTGTGCATCTGGGAAGAGGCTTTAATTCACAGGATGTCACTGAATTTGTGGGCACAAATGGATTGTGATAAAATTTACATGAGATCCCCCAGTGGGACTCAGAAGCTTGTGCTGTGTAATTGCGATGTTCATCTTTTCCTCAGCAATCGGAGCAGTTTTCCACTTCAGAGGAGCTAAGACACTCAGAAAAGGAAGATTGCCCGAGGGCTTAATGACATTTATCCCCCTGTTGAAACAAGAACTCTGACTGGTGAGAAGCTGTGCTCTCGTGTAATACTAATATGTAGATGTCAGCTGAACAAGGAGAGACAAGGTCACTGTTCTCAGATGTCGGAAAATATAAGTTAGGCTGCTCTTAGATTAGCATAGTTTAACCTCAGAYGCAGACACTCTGCATTCCTTCTGTTTGTGTGGGTGTGTGTGTGCCGACTAACATGGGCAGAGGGTTGCCARACGCTGCACAGCTCAAAGAGAAGTCCTCGGGGCTGAAGACGGTGGCAGACTCCGGCTGTTTGGTGATCTCAGGAGGCTTCTTGTCTGTGTGGATCAAAACAAGAGGCACAACACAATCAGAGAGCCATGACACTGACAAGAAATGCACTAAAGGTAAATTAGTTTCAACCATAGGACYGCATGCACACCATGTTGAATTCACCTGCCTGTACAATTTATAATTCTTAACCAATACTACATMTATGCCGCTGTGAGAAACTTAAAGGAATAGTTTAGATCTTTAAAATTTGAGGCACTGTGAAACATTTTTGAGCATTTAACAACTTATGTGTTGTAGATAGCTCTTTGAATGACTTCAATTGGAGAAATAGTTCATTTTGATCAAACTGATGAGCTAAAAGCATCTGTCCTCCTTGTTCTTGGCCTTGCAGTTGTTACAGTAACTCAGAAATAAAGTCAAAACTGAAGCCATTTAAAGCTCAGAACAGGTAAGGGATTACAGTAAACATTTATCTGTCAATAGAACCTCCTCTAGATCTTTTGCTTTTCTCTTTTTTTCCAAGACAAACTCATTGAGAATAAATTTAATTTACAAGGGTGTCCTGGGATGCTGGGTTAGTTAGATTTGTGATCTAAAACTAACAAATCTGTGATTTAAAGATCTAACAAACAACAGAGAAAACACTGGTATACGGCTCATTTCCACGTTGACAGCTGCTGCAAGTACAGCATATTCAGTCAAACACATAAAAAGACTCCACAGACACAGAGACGAAAGATAGGCCAGAGAATAGAGCAGAGCAGAGGGAGAAAGGGTTGAAAAGAGATGAACTTGACAATGCAAGACAGAGGGTTCATGTGAAGAAAATGTATCTGGCACAGAACTCCCTGAGAGACTAAGTGAAGGAAAAGTCTGTGCTGGAAAAAAAAGAACTAAAGAAAAAAATGTAATGACAGCCAGAAAATATTTTTTCTTTCATTTCAGTCTGTGGGAGAAAGTCTCAACACATTCACAGAGGACTGAATGTGTTGTGAACCCGCACCTTTTTAATTTTTAAAATAAATAAAGTATTGAAATGTTACTATGCACAGGCAGTCCTCAGTGAACTACAGGTCACAGCTTATTACTTGGAGGTAATCTGATTTAAAGGAAAAAGACAGGCGTTGAGTCATTATCAATGCACAAACCAGGGGAATGTCGGGGTGGGGGTGCAGGGGATGGAGAAACCACTCTGAAGATGGAGAACTGAGCAGACAGGGACGATGGATGAAAGTGCAGCAAAGGGAGAGCTCATGCAGAGCGCAGAAAAAGAAAAAGATGAGACGCTGAAGAAATAAAACAAACACGGAGGGAATTCAGAAGGACTGCTAGAGAGTAAAGGAATTCAAGAAGGGGGGAAAATACAATTTATAGAGGAAATAAGCCCATTTCCCCCAGCTGATCAAATTGAAGTTTGGGCTGTGAGCACGACTCCATTATTGGCACAGGAAGAGGAGCTGGTGCTTATRGTGCTTTAACTCCTCTTTATTTCTTCTCGTCTTTGATCTGACAGCCCTGCTGTCTCCTTCAAACTTTCTCTTCTCTGCTCCAGAGACGTCTGCTTATGGGAGCCAAGAGGCAAAACGCCCCGCCCTCCCACAAGCGCAAACAGACACATGTTCATCACACACACACGGATACACAAAGTGGCGTAACACAGCTAATGCACACTAATGCCAGATTTATTTTAGAGCACTGCAGTGCAAAAAGGATTTTCATATTGGCTGGATGAAKGGGGGTGGGGGTAAATAAAATAAAAYAAAAAACTCTGGCATAATAAAAGTGTTTACAATGAGCTGTGGTACCTTCATTATTATAAGACAAACATCAATAAAGTTAAAAGCACTTACGATCACCTATGTGGTCTGCACATCCACCGTATGATCAGAGGGAAGGAAAAGAGAATAAATGGTTAGATAGATAGATAGATAGATAGATAGATAGATAGATAGATAGATAGATAGATAGATAGATAGATAGATAGATAGATAGATAGATAGATAGATAGATGGAGTGGATGCTGTAATGGCTTTGTTAATGGTGCATGCTTTGCGACTTCCCTCTCACTGATTCCAACCCATCTCCTTTATTGATCCTGATCAGTGCCTCTGTAGCTCTAATCGACATGTCAGAGGCTCCCTAATTGAAAGGCAGAGGACACCTTGACCTTTCCCATTCCCATCTCTGACCTGCTCCTCCTCATCCTCCCTTTTCATGCTGCCTGGCCTTCTCACCTCTGTGTCACCTTGCCCCTTTGGGAACGAGATGGGTGAAATTTACTGCATTTCATTAACGTTTACATGGTGTGTGTCTGTGCGCTGCTTTTGTGTGTGTGTTTTCTCTCAGAATATGTGTAGGCGGTGAACCAGTATATACACAAAGTCTTGGATAAAGGGTGGATAACAAAAGCAGCGGAGGATACATTATCCTCGTTCTCTCTGCTGCAGTTCTGTAGGCAGGCRAGCGGGCAGCAGCCAAGGAGATGAAGATCTATTTCCCAGCAGGCCTCAAGCTCAGCTGTATTTTTAATGCCAACTTATTGCATCGAAGAGGTGGAAGAAATTAGATTGAGTTGGGGGGGGGGGGGCAAACTCATTGGAGTTGTATTGCATAACTAAGTTGTTGATTTTATTTGCTCCAATCAGATTCAGATTTTCACCCTGGAAACCAGATCAATAGTTGGACCAATCAATCCAGTGTGACGGGATCAGTTACCAAGTAATTAGACACACCACAGACCCAAACCTGTGACAATAGCATTTGTAGCATGAATGAGCTCTGTTTCACTGAATACTGAGGAGGAAACGCATGTTCAAACTGCTTATTTGCACTAATTAATCATGATTAAAGATCATTATTACTGTGCTTTGATGAAMCAGCGGTGTAATTAACACAACAAATAGATCTTTGAACCTCGCTGCAGCATTCAGCTATTGTTCTGAATATTGTGACATTAATCAGTACTCACAGTTGGAGGGTATCTGAATGGCTGCTCGGCTGGGCTGGGCTGGGAGGGAGAGGAGGGTGAGGACAAGGGGGAGGAGGTGGGAGGAGCGCTGCCCCCTACTGCAAACCTGCTGTTGCTGTGTGCGAGGCATCGCTCACAGTGCCATCAAAGTCCCACCTGCTCACACAGGAATGGTGAAATGCACACACACACTGAACTGAGCAGGTGTCAGGCTTTGCTTCTCGTGTTAGAAGCCTCAGCCTTGCTTCATATGTCTCTAGTCCTCCTTGTCTTCTTTTTGGCTTAAATCTGTGTCACGCCCTCCTGTATGTTTCTGTAGGTTTCTGTAGGTTTCTCCTCTCTGAAAGATAAAAACAAGAGGATGGGGAAGGGGTTGGGACAGACAGAGGGAAGGGCAGCGAGAGAGAGGGGGGCCATGTGTTAGAATGGAAGAGAAATGACCGTTCACCATGTGGTCCGATCAGACGGACAGACTGAGACATGGAGTTTAACACAGCCATCACGAGTTAAGAACAAAACATCTCTAACAATAAGAGACTGATTACAAAACCTGCACACACCCAAACACACACACACACACACTGTTTGGTTTTATTTCACAACCAGTGACCCATATGGAAAGGCCAGTAAGCAGGACAGATGGAGAGAATGCCACAACAAGAAGCTGGGCAGAACCTCCCATCACGCAGATGGGCGGGAAAATAAAGGCAGACAAGGAGTCAAAGCTGATAAGATGCAGGACAGATAGTTGACAATTAGGTCTGAGCTTCATGGCACGCAGAGCCGTGATAAAAGACGTGATAAACATGCTGTTGCTGGTGGTGAGCAAGGCGAGCCGCCCSTCCTGGGAGTCCATCCATACTCCATCTGTATGATCGGAGCCCGCCACAAGGAGCAGGCTGTCCTCCCCCGCGGCACCACGTGGAGCAGCCCGCTGACTGTTTACACTACTCAATATCACACGCAAGGAGCTGTTGCAGCACGTCGTGATTAAGACGTGCATGTGACACAAAAGAAAGAGGTGTTAATAAAGAGGCAGAGAGGAGCAGGGGAGCTGGGGGTGTGTTTGACAGCTCTGCAGGCTCGCTGAAGGAGTTCTGGCTCAACTCGATGCCAGATCTTGGCAGAGCAGCAACAAGGCCTTCTGTGACCTTGACTGGGAGAAGGTGAGCGAAAAGAGGAGATGAAGGTGTGGAAAATATTCATTATCGTTGCCTATTTGGAAGAAAATGGCTGCTGATACATTAATTCTTCACTCACAAACGCATCGGTGTCTCAGAACGAGGAACTCTGGGATTTCTCCTTATCCAAAGAGCCAAACTAGATTAAATTAAAGAACAAACAAGAGGTAAAACCTTAATAAGGCAGTTTAAACTAACAGCACRGGGATTAAATGAGGCGTTGCGCTCGCTCGCTTGCCTCTCAGAATAATTGCGAGGAGAGAAGAAGGGGAGCGAGGAGACGAGGGGATGAGTGGGTGGGGGACTTGAAGAAAGATAAAAAGTGGATAGAGGGATTGAGGCGGAGCACGGCAGCTGTGACGCTAATCCTATCCTTCCACTCGCGCACACAGACACACATTTATGCACTCTTGGGCCAGATCTTTCAATCAATGTGCATCATTTACTTTCTTCTCTCTCCCCTCCATTTGACTAAAGCCTCTTTAGTTGTTGTTCTTCTGAGACAGCAAGCCAATTAGTCTTGAACCAGCCTTTCCAAATGCCRTTAGAGTGAGACGAATGAAGCAGAGCTTGTTGGGGTTGGCGTTAATGCCATCTAAGGTGGGAGTTCACCTGTCGTTTAATGGAGCAAAGTAAGATCCCAGCACCACTCTCATTACGCTGCCAATCACAAATCAGCAAAAACAAAAAATTTGACGCTCAAGTTGATCGACAGCTTGTAATGCATGGACAGACAGACACACCTCAACTGGTCTGAGAAAAGATTACACAAATAAAAAGCCAAGGTCCAGTGGTCCCCAGTCGGGGGGGGGGGGGGGGCAGACTTTACTGGAGAATATTTCGGTAATGATAAATCTTTTTATTTTTTTGTTTCCACTCTCGGAGGAGTAAGACACTTTTTCCTGCTCTCCTGTCCTTCCTTATCGTCCCTGCTTTGCTGCTTGGAGCCTTCTCTACATTTTTCATCCAAAAATAGAAATTATGGATATTTTTATTTTTATGGATTTGATTAGCTGGTCTCTCAATAAAATTTTTGGAACAAAGTTTTTTCTTCTTCCATGGGAGGACATATCAAAGGTGGGACCTCTGTTCTTCTCTGTTCTTGATATACATCTGGACTCCGATCACTGGATTCTGCAGATTGGCTTGGTGGTCTTCTGGTGTTCTTCAAATCAGCATCAGTAGCTTTTCATCTTATGACTGACTGACCAATTTGATGGATGGCCGTATTCTATCAGCACTCAGACATTTTGCCTTGGGCGAGCTGGACTCGGTCTGCAAGCGGTTCTATTGAGGGTCGTGGGCTGGCTGTGGTCCCTGGACTTTGCTGGCCAGATGGAATTGACCTTGTAGAAGCTGATGGATCAGCTCGGCGGAATTTGTCCACACTATTCGCCTGATTGGATTCGCCACCTTGAGATGCACCAGCAGAACACTACAGCAGATGGAAAATTGTTATTGTCTGCCTGACTCTTTCTGTTCCCAAAACAACTGATTACAGATTTGGCTCTCCCCTACAACAGCCTTGATCTGTTGACTAAATTTTTCCTGGCTGGATTACATCGACAAGGCTCTGCCCCACACCTTCCCCCCTCCTCTCTCACCTGTCTAATCTGGTTTCCTGAGCAGTAATGAACAGTTCAATCAATATTCTGATGGCTGCACTGGTTTTGGGGACTGGATTCTTTGGGTCCCCCTAAACTCACTTACTCCCCTGGCTTATAAATCTGCCTTATGCAGAGGTTTTTTTCATAAACACCATAGTGTGTCACAGTGTTGATATACAGTAATATGATGTTTTTGCTTTTTCCTCATCTTCCTTTGTGTGGTTTTTAGTTTTTCTGTTGTTCTGTTGTTAAGGTAGCGCAACAGTGTTTACTGCATGACCTGTCTTAACTGCCCCCTCCCCCCTTCCCTGAATGTACAGCACCTTGTGAATTTATTTCTGTGAAAGGTGCTATATAAATAAAACTACTTACTTACTTACTTACTTACTTACTTACTTACTTACTTACTTACTTACTTACTTAC